GCTGCTGAATGCACCTGTTATCAATAGAGACGCTGAATGGAAAAGTAGTTTGCCCCGGATAAATGTTCTGGGGTCGGTTGTACGGATAAAGGCCGGATAATGCTATCCACTGGGTAGTGATTTTTTCAACCGTTGTAAAAATGTGTGAAAATTATGAATCCCTGCATAATAATACTGTAAAAGGCGACTTGAATTTTTACATACTAAAGTTTAATCTGGATTACGCCAGTCAAAGGCCAGTTTAAGGGGCTGTTTATATGGAAGCGAGCCAGCCCGGGTACCCGAGCTGGCTCGCATCCCCGAGATGAATTTCACCACGCGTTTACATGAAACTTACATCAAGGGCTGGCTCTTCGTGTTCTAATTTTTTTTTGCATAAACAACTCCATATATGGTAGTTGGTTCCTTATATGGGAGTTGTTTGTGCATTCTGAATTATTCTAATTAAATGCGCATGTGTATTTGCTAAATTTCCAGCCCTACTAGGAGGGTAGGGGTGCACCGGTTCAGGCTGGAATTCCGGCCGGATTTGAAATCCGGTGCACCCCTATAGGAGGGCTAGCCCTCCCTGTTGCGTTTATATGGAAAACTACGCAGCTCGTTTACCCGAGGTCTCCGGTCACACGAAGCGGGACCTCGGTTAGGCGGGCCAGCTCGGTTCTCATATAAACGCAACATGAAATTTAGTAGGAAATATTAACAAAGACGGGATCCTGCCTAAAGCGAGCTAGCTCGGGTACCCGAGCTGGCTCGCCTCATATAAACAGCCCCTAAGAAAGCTTGAAAAATCACTATCCTGTGTATATAGCACTATCCGCGACTTTCGTACAACCGGCCCTTGCCGTGTACATATCACATGATCATATTTTTGGGCGGTTACCGCCATGAATATTTGTTGTACAGTAATCAAAACTAACTCTTTTTTTAAGTTTAAACATTTTATTTATCGCAAAAAGATGTGGAACAAAATAAATGAAAAAGAAACTGAACGAAAGTTATACACCGCTTTCTGAGTGATGTACTAAATTTAAATCATAGAACATATGAAAACTTGAAAGACAACATGACCGGAAAAAAGCTCTAAGGTTGCCATTGAAGAGCCAGCAAGGACAAACTACCACTCATTAAGAAGTTTTTTAACTGCACACTGAAAATGGTGTACTTTGGGAACCCATGCAAGCATGGCAAAGAGCCAGTATGTACATCGACATCAACGAAATTGAAGATAATATTGAAATCTCAAGCAACAACTTGTGGATACAATTGAATTAAGATATTTATAACAGACTTACTGGATAGCCAGGGAAATATGATGATGATCATATAGTGATGATGTGTGTGACGTTAACTGTGTGATTGAACTATGTAAATATGACTACAGTTGCTCCTTGTGGACAATCACAGGGACCGCACAAGCAAGGGGGTGTCTTCAATCAATGTTCAATTTTGGACAGGATTCTTGCAATTGTGAACAGTTGAACCCTTTTACTGTACATTTAAATGGTTTCCACGTTTTGTCTGTTCTTTATGCACTGATGGTTAAAGTGACCCAGTGGTGGATCCAGCAAGGTGTTTTTAGGAGAGAGGTGCTGGGCGAGTAGCCAAACACCGAACCCAGAGCACTGTTATGAAAGTGCAGCTACTAGTTTGTCAGTTACAATTTACAGATAAAATTATGTTGAATAAATATAATTTTGATAATTATATAAAATATAAATCCCATATTCTCTTGATACTGTGATTAATTATGTGAAAGAGAAAATGGGAATTTTTCACATTTGAATATTTGATTGCTTTTCTAATTTTTATTTTCATTATCAAATACTTGTAATGATGTTAGACCTTTACAGCAAAATTAAAAATTTGCTTTACTCAATCAAAGTATCAAGCTAACATTAGACTTATTAGTATTTTGAACTAGTGCTTTGAACTAGTGCTTTGAAGTCAATGATTAAGTTCATCACCTCATAGGAAGGTATTTGTTTAATCTCAAAATTAACCTTTCAAAATTAACCTTTAAAAATGAAGCATGCTGCGTGCAGTTGATTACAGGGGCGTAAATGCAGGGGGGTCACCCCCCCCCAGAGAAATGATCCAGTCATGCTGCATGCAGTTGATTACAGGGGCGTAAATGCAGGGGGGTCACCCCCCCCCAGAGAAATGATCCAGTCAATCTCAAACTAAGTGCAGTCGGTCTCAAAATTACGCATTTGGTTACAGTGTAACCAAACTCGGATGACATATCAGACTCAAACTATTGAGTTGAAAACTTGCTCAAACAGAATCAAGCAGCTCACGGTCCCTATCCCTAAAGTATATTAGTAACATGCAAAGTGCAAATTTTAGCCGAGTTATATTAGGAAGCTAGTATGTTCACAAATGTTCACATGGAACATGATATGCATATGCCACTGCAATCAAGAAATTCGATCAGTGAACGACACCCTGGTTTATCTGAAATCCTGGAGCGAAACATTGTTTCCACTGACTAAGCGATGTTTTCAAATGTTGCTTAATTTAATTGCTTACAGTCAGGCCTGTAACGATAGGTATGAGTCAATCGAGTCGGACTGCAGTTCAATGACATACTGTAGTTTAATTTCTCCATGTAATTCATTCTTGCCCTACAGTGACATAATAAGTGGGAGGCTGTGTAGGTGCAAAAGTACCCCAGTAACAAAAGTTCGGGCCAGCACCACAAATATTACCATAATTGGGCACAAACACTTTTTTATTATGCACTTAATAAAAATACGATGTTTCACAGCAAACTGTATGTATTCTTGCAAAATTCCTAATAAATGACATCAATTTCCATGCTTTGTATTCAATTTTGTATTCAATAAAGTATGGTGCATTGGGGTGCAATAAAACTTAATGGGTTAACTAGATACATGGGCAGAGAGCCTGGTTAACCCATTGAGCACCAGTACTTTCCCCCTCCGTTATTACAATAGTTTGGGGGTTTTTTGGGACACCCTGTATACTCTTTCACTTTCAATAATTATGTCAAAAAACCCTCCTTGGTTTGGCAGTACCCTGCGAGCAAAGTCCTCACTTTGCTCGCAGGGTAGTTTGGAAGCTTTGTTGTCACAAATTGTGAATGAATAGCCTTTCGTCCTGATTGATGAAAGCAATGCTCTTATAGGCTCCCAGGTCAAAGAAGTATTTGTGACATAATCATTGAAAGGGTTTAATAACAACTAATAACAAGTTAGTATTTTAATACCTGCAGAATTGATGATTACATCTGGTTGAATGTGGATCGTTTAAAAGATCAAGACTATAAAAAGATTTAAGAAATTATTTATCGACAAATATACAACCATTTGAGAAAATATATCATAAGTAGGTTCCACCTACCATATAGAACATTGTAAACTTCTCTTAATTAGTCCAATGGTTTGAAACACAAGTGCAGTACTAGGATCCATTCATACTTAAGATTAATGCCCATAAATGTGTACCAAATACCTTACAAGCACGAAATAACAGTTTATTTTAAATATTATATTTCCTTTCAATTATTTGGCAGACATTTTTATTTGGCCATATTTGAAATATTTCCCGCCAAATGTTTGAATAGTTCCAGTCTTCTCCATGCATGCGGCCAATTTTCGCGGCATTAACAGTGGTACTCAGAATAACTGGAGTGATATCTTCCGCACACAGGGGTTTTATTCGGGATTTAGAAATTTTCGCTTGGCCCTCCCACTAGTCCACTTTAGAGAGAATTCGTCATTCGAATCCGCCACTATGAAATTTGACGTTTTTAAAACCTGCCGTATCAAGGAAACTCCACACCATGGCACTTAAATATATAATAAAGGTGATTGGCTGTTTGCTAGTCTTGCTAGATAGCATACTTCAAAATAAGGTTTCTGTTTTTATAACGTAGAAAAAACTATCCTAACGCAAAACTGACGCAAAACTAAACCCCAACCATAACCCCAACCCTAATCCTAACTTATTTTAAAAATTGATATAAAAACGGAAACCTTATTTTGAAGTATACTATCTAGAAATTGCCCTATCGGTCGCGGGGCCTCCGACCACGGGTTATTAATAATAAATTAACTTTATTTTGCTGTGACTTTTTATTTTGCCTTTTAAGTTAATTTCGTTTTGCCGTGAGTTAACTTTATTTTCCCTTGAGTTTATTTTGTTTTGCCGCTGCAGCTAATTTTATTTTGCCGTGGCTCAGTTACTTTCGCTGTGGCACATGTGGGCCACGTTATAATATTTTATAGCGCCTGGGGACGAGCAGCTATGCGAGAGGACTTTGCTCGCAGGGTACGAGGCAGCTCGACAATTACCCAAACTCTTGCAAGCTTGGTGGGATTAACGGATCACTTCATTTAGCCAATCAGATTACGAGCTTTTTTGGATCGTGATCTGATTGGTTAAAATGAAGGCGGACCAGAAAGTAGAAGGGTACCTACAAAATAGCGAAAAAGCTGGTATCCTGGCTTACAGAAACTTAAACTTTAGAACTTAAAATAGTTTAATTTAGGTTTTTAATCGTGTTTTTAAATTTGATATGACATAAACAAGTAGTAAAGATACATTTTAGATTTTTATAAGTTGGATAAAAAACACAAAACAGACTGCTAACTTTTTTAGTCGCAAATCAATTGTCGGTAAATTAGAAGATCCGTTTTATGACTTTTATCCGAAGGATAAACTACAAATAACATTTTTAAAAAGAAAAGTGCCCCGTCAGTCCATACTTCCCGACTCTGCTAGCTCGTATCGGTCAAGTCCGTCTCGTGCTAGCCGCTAGAACGCCGTATGTTGACGTTTAAGCTAGATTTCGGCTAAACTCAACGCTATCGTCAGAGGCGGTGAATAGGTGGCTTACCAACCGGTATCGAACGAACGACGGGGGAGAGTGCCGGCGGCCCCCAGACCATTATGCCTGGCACCCTTTTCGCAAGACC